AAATTGTTTTCTTGCATTTTTCCAATAACATGTAACATCAAAGGAGAAACAGTCGGCTGCTACCACTTCAACTTAAGGACAAACAGAGTCCCAAAAAGAAAATCACCATTTGAATTCAACAAAAGTTGTTTGGACCTAGAAAACTGTGACTGGTGTTTAGCGGTATCTCGTTTCCTCCAGCATCGTGGGTTTCAGATTCCGGTAGAAGCATCTCAGGGAAGATACCCGAGGGAAGCAAATACAATCAAAGCAGAACAAGTAGTTCTCTTGAAACCTCGCCATAATTTAAATAAGATAACATAATCTATTTTCTTTTCTTATGCAAACTAAAACCAATGAGTGGTTCCAGCTTGTTGCGCCTGAGTCTCTTCAGTTAACAGTTGCAGTGAAGGAACAAAGAGCCATAAGTTTAGTCAGGTTTCATAAAAGTATACAGGCTGGGTCTGATGTGACATTTAGCTTTTGCTATAGTAAACTGAATATCCTGGGCTTTTAGACTATTGTTAAAAATCAGTTAGAAAGGATATGAGTGAATGGAGAAAGATCTTTTTACAGTGAGTATTGTTGCAACATTACAAGTGGGATAAAGGTGCACACACACACACACACAAGATCTTTTTTCATGATCAGCTCAAATTCAAACATTAATCCAACTTTTTTCATTAGGATGTCCTAAACTAACTGTTGATTTTTTATATTATAGAAATATTTACCTGATTGCAAGAGAAAAGGAAAACCTGCAGATTTAAATAAATGGTTTCACTTAAATAAATAAGTTCGCTGCTCAATGTTTTGTTTCCATGTCCTGGACAAATCCATCCATTTTCCATACTCGCTTATCCACGCAGGGTCGCGGGGGGCTGGTGGTCTTTGGGCACACCCTGGACAGGTTGCCAGTACATCGCAAGGCAACACAAAGACACACAGGACAAACAACCATGCACACACACACTCACACCTAAGGACAATTTAGAAAGCCCAATCAACCTTACAGCCATGTTTTTAGACTTTGGGAGGAGGCCAGAGTACCAGGAGAGAACCCATGCATGCACAAGGAGAACATGCAAAGTCCTTGCAGAAAGATCCCAGCCAGGAATTGAACCCAGGGTCTTCTTGGGTTCAACGCGCCACTGTGCAGCACACCACCTGAACAAATCAGATCCCAAATTTGCATTTAACTCACTAATAATAAATCTATACTGCCTGCTTTGCATATTATCTCATCAGTTCCCCCATTCCTCACTGGGACACTGCGTTTTTAGTAGCCCTAAACATGAGTGACAATCTGTCAGGTTTAACCTTGCCATACAGTAGTCGGCCATGTTGAATGCATCCTGAAAGAAAGAAAGAAAGAAAGAAAGAAAGAAAGAAAGAAAGAAAGAAAGAAAGAAAGAAGAGTCCTTACAGGCTCACAAAGGAAACATCGCATGTAATATGGCATTGCCCAGAGACTTAGACCTGCTCCCATGTATTTTAGACCTGATTTTTATGGTCATATGTTACAAAGCCGCCAATATTTTTCAACAACCGGGCATTATTTAATTCATTTTCATCAACATGTTGACGGATATTTCTAGAGATTATTGGTAAAAATTAAAAATTGTCTTTTTAAATTACCAATAAAATCAATGTTTTCATTTTTTTTTTCTTTAAACAACCCAGACACATTTTAACCATTTACCTGCTTGGTCAACCATTAATAGAGTTCCTACATCTTAGTGAAGCAGTAGCAATAAAAAAACATGCAAAAGAATATGGAGTTGTTTGAAGAAAAGGCATAACATTATTCGTCGTCGTCTTCCTCCGCTTATCCGGGTCCAGGTCGCGGGGGCAGCATCCCAACTAGGGAGCTCCAGACCGTCCTCTCCCCGGCCTTCTCCACCAGCTCCTCCGGCAGGACCCCAAGATGTTCCCGGACCAGATTGGAGATGTAACCTCTCCAATGTGTCCTGGGTCGACCCGGGGGCCTCCTGCCGGCAGGACATGCCCGAAACACCTCCCCGGGGAGGCGTCCAGGAGGCATCCTGACCAGATGCCCAAACCACCTCAACTGGCTCCTTTCGGTCCGGAGGAGCAGCGGTTCTACTCCGAGTCCCTCCCGAATGTCCGAGTTCCTCACCCTATCTCTAAGGCTGAGCCCGGCCACCCTACGGAGGAAACTCATTTTGGCCGCTTGTATCCGTGATCTTGTTCTTTCGGTCATTACCCAAAGCTCATGACCATAGGTGAGGATTGGGACGTAGATCGACCGATAAATTGAGAGCCTGGCTTTCTGGCTCAGCTCCCTCTTCACCACGACAGATCGGCTCAGTGTCCGCATCACTGCAGACGCTGAACCAATCTGCCTGTTGATCTCCCGATCCCTCCTACCCTCACTCGTGAACAAGACCCCGAGATACTTAAACTCATCCACTTGAGGTAGGACCTCTCCCCCGACCCGGAGTTGGCAAGCCACCCTTTTCCGGTCAAGAACCATGGTCTCAGATTTGGAGGTGCTGATCCTCATCCCAGCCGCTTCACACTCGGCCGCGAACCTACCCAGCAAGAGCTGGAGGTCAGAGCTGGATGAAGCTAGGAGGGCCACATCATCCGCAAAAAGCAGAGACGAGATTCTCCTGCCACCAAACTTGACACACTCCACACCACGGCTGCACCTAGAAATTCTGTCCATAAAGGTAATGAACAGAACCGGTGACAAAGGGCAGCCCTGGTGGAGTCCAACCCTCACCGGGAACAGGTCCGACTTACTACTGGCTATGCGGACCAAACTCACGCTCCTCTGGTAAAGGGACTGAATGGCCCTTAACAGAAAGCCACTCACCCCATACTCCTGGAGCGTCCCCCACAGTCCACTGTTGGGGACGCATAACATTATTACATTGCAATATTATTAAATGACATTAAACTAAATGCCTTTTTTGCCAGAAATCAAAATCTTGGTGAGGAGTCAAAGGGTTAAAACAGTGACTATAAATCACACATTATACTTGTTGGTTGTAGATGAACCTAGCCTTACTCGGTTGGGGTTCATGCACTCATTCATGGCTTCTGTAAATTATGCGCTTGTTGCCGAGAGGCTATGAACTTTACTATGTAAATCTGAACTACTTTCCTCCTGAAAAGCATTAAAAAAACATGTCAGTCTACATATAAAGCACCAATTTTTCTGTTCCTCAAATTGAGGTGAAGATCGGTTTTGTTTAATTCAATTCAATTTTATTTATATAGCGCCAAATCACGACAAGAGTCATCTCAAGGCACTTCACATAATAAACATTCCAATCCAGGTCAGTTCATTAAGCCAATCAGAAAAAATGTTTCCTATATAAGGAACCCAGCAAATTGCATCAAGTCACTGACTAGTGTCAGTGACTTTACAGCAATCCTCATACTAAGCAAGCATTTAGCGACGGTGGAGAGGAAAACTCCCTTTTAACAGGAAAAAACCTCCAGAAGATCCTGGCTCAGTATAAGCAGCCATCCACCACGACTCACTGGGGATCGAGAAGACAGAGCAGACACACAAAAACACACACACACACCAAGCAATGTGTCTATGGTTCCATTGTGATTTCTTAGTAAATATTCTATTTGGCGAGAGATAAACTTTATTGTATTTATCCTAGTGAATCTATAATTAAACAGGTAAACTAGCAGTAGCACATCCAACATCAAGGAAAGCAAGAAGTTATTATCAGGAGAGGGAGAATGTTTAAGTGGTTGGCAGCAGTGCGCTAGACGGTGGCCTCCTCCATGAGGCCACCACAGCTCAGCAGAACATCGTTGTAGCTTCTTCTGGGGAGAAAAACACTTAGAGAGAAAATAAAGTTAACAGCTGAAATTGCAGAAAATAATACAGTTAAAGAGCAGATTGTAGAAGAAAGTAGTAGAGTGTGAAAAGTGGTCAGTGTATCCTCCAGCAGTCTAAGCATATAGCAGCATAACTGCAGAGATAACTCAGGATTACCTAGCCTTTTTTGATGGAGGCATGTTGGATGCAGGGCAAGGGAGAGCCGTCTTTACCGACTGTACGCTCCACCTCCCTTTACTCCCCCACTTGTCCAGATTTAGGCTAACATTAGATTTTAACCATAGGCCCTATCAAATAAAAATGTTTTAAGCCTATTCTTAAAAGTAAACAAGGTGTCTGCCTCACGGACTAAAGCTGGGAGCTGGTTCCACAGGAGAGGAGCCTGATAACTAAAAGATCTGCCTCCCATCCTAATTTTAGATATTCTGGGAACCACCAGTAAACCTGCAGTCTGAGAGCGAAGTGCTCGGTTAGGAACGTATGGAACAATCAGATCACTGATGTATGATGGAGCTTGATTATTAAGAGCTTTATATGTGAGAGAGATTTATATGTGTTTTACGCAGCAACAGCCACTTGCAAAAACTTACGATTTTATTGTAGTGACCTGACCACATAATTCCAACAGTTGAAAGACAAAAATATGAATCCCAGTGGACTTGGTGTTCAGGATTTCAAAGCCTCCCGCAAAACAAGTTATCCAAACAACTTTTTGTTCCATGTTGTCCCAACATCTAAGGTCAGAATGTTTGGTTTCCACTTTCTTCTGTCGGAACACATTTAAGGAAACGATGCAAACGCCATCCTGTCGAGTCACAGTGGAAGAGCTGATAAGGCAGAATTTTCAAGCGGTGGCAGTTTTGTTTCTTTTTGGGATGTATATGATAAGCTGGGTGATAAGGTACATGCATCAAATATTCATGACTTTGTGCCTGATGAATACTGTATATGAGCAAGAGTAGTCTGGCTCCTGCTCAGTGCAGTCAGAGCGTACATCAACCCGTGGGCATGAATACAAAGTAGACGAACAGTATCAACCTACATCAAGGTTGAAATGTTTTTTTTTTGGGGGGGGGGGATACAGCATTTAGATATCACTACTAAATACAAGATGTAGAACCTTACTGTGGTAAGATTGTAGCTTTAGATGCAACAGGAAGTGAAGCGCCAGAAGGAAAAGGAAAACCAGTCAGTCCAAAATGGTTTATTTTGTAAAGAGGGCGAGTGAAGGAGGTGAGAAAACATGGTGTGCTACTAAATGATATATTCAAATGTACATGAATTTCAAAGGGGATTACAGTTGCTCTTTTTTTACACACTTAGTCTTCATTCCAACAGGTTTTTCAAATGTAAATGGAAAAAAAGTTCATATAATTTTCAAAATAAAAATAAGTAACAAACTCTCACAATGTTGAAAAGAATAATAAAAAAGTAAAGTTACATGCAGAATGCAGACTCATGTTATTTTAATTTGGAAAGAAAAAGTGAATGAGCATGTTATTTAAACATCTGAGGTGAATCCTTCTGCCCTTTTGCCCTCACAAAATTAAATCACATTAGCGGAAACTGCATTGTTTGAGTCTTTTATTCACTATATTATAGGTAATAGGAAATATAAGAAACTGCTAGTAATGACAACTTGAGTGATCTTGGCTAGCCATTACAAACAGCACGTATGTGTTGAGATGCCTCATGAAAATTACTACCCAAAATAAATTACATTTGCCAAAACGCACAGACTGGTTGGGAGAGGGGGTTAGGAGGAGGGCTGGTCTGGATGTTGGACCAACCAGCTAAATGACAAGTCAAACACAATGCAAATGAAGCTCTTCTGGATTTGTGGAGTCCAGGGTTACGGCTGGAGAGTGAGTAGAAAGGTCCCAAAGTAGAAACTGCAGTCTTAACATGGGCCATACTTAAAATGTAGAGGAAAACACCCTTACACTCATCAATATGATGAGCAGAAAAGTCCCAAACCAAAGCTCTGAAGTCTTTATTTTTGCTATCAGGAGGGGAAAAAATACTTGAAAACAAAAACAAAACAGAAAAAAAAAAACACAAAACAGGAGGAGGAGGGAAGAAACAACTCCAGATACTACGCTGAACGCAGAGAAGATGAACTGCACGAGTTGGGTGAGACACTCCGGCACAGGGGGGTTATTTCCTGGAGCTAGACTTCTAATATCCAGAAGTACTGGTCTGGAGGACCCATATTGGTCAAGGGGTGTCCATAGAGATGCCTACACCAAAATACTTCAACAGTGGCATTTTAGCAGGCTGTCCCAAGAGTGACGCTATGTGCTTCCTGCTGCATGGTTCTCGGTGCCCTCTGAATTACCTGGAGGAACACAGAAGAAGCAGGTTGACCAGAATGTTGCAGGAGACTACGTCGTTACGCAGAACTACTGGTGTTAGCGTGATCCAGGCAATCCGCTGAGCTACTGCTCATGTATAATAGTATCATGAACTATTTAATGTTTATCTCTTAAATTGACTGATAAGCCAAAATAAATTAAGCAAATAAATAAATAAATCAGTCATGAAATCCTGGAACACGTCCACCAGAAAGGAAGAAAAGAAGACCACTGACTTGTAGCAGGAGTGGAAGCTGCAGCAGAGGCAGAGCCTTTGTCTTCCTCGTCGCTGTCGTCCTCGTTGGATTGCGGTACCTCTGCTGAAGGGATCGTCGTTGGTGGGATCTCTGGTTCCTGATCTGCTCGACTCTTTAGAGCTAGGATCCGATGATGTAATGCTGCAGCCAGCTGACCAATGTCTTTAGAGCTACCCTACAGGACAGGAAGTAAAAAATGTAACATTACTATTGCACAGGTCACACCTTATGGCTCATGTTTAATGATAGCCTGAAAAATATGGCTTCCTGCTTTTTAAGCTACCAGAGACAGAAATTGGACAAGTTCATTAATAATAGCTCAGAAAATATTACACAAAGTAATCACTTACAAATAGGGATGGGTACCTTTGACATTTGAATCGATTTGGTACTAATTGCCGGTACCTAGGAATCGATACCGGTACTTAACGGTACCAATTTAAGATACTTTTGAGCGTTTAATATTTTAATTCTTTTTATAATAAAATATATATTTTTCTCAATATATAACAATATTTGATAAATATCACAATAAATAACATACAACTGTTTGTATTTTAACATCGTCCTTGTAGTTTTATAAGCTGATAATTAAACTGAAGCAAACATCTTTACTGTGAACTAAATTTACTGTGTATCTTCATTCCTTTTGCCATCCTTTTTCTTTGATTTTTCCTACTGGGAAGTTAGAATTTCCGAGGAGAAAGCGAACGCACCATTAGCTGATAACAATGGTGGCAATGGAAGCTAATTTATCAAGCTGTTATCTTTAACAGTTTATTTAACTGCTGGAGCAGATTAAAACGACGATGCCTCACACTTAGATCGTTGTCGCTGGTTTCATCTTCACCCAATCACCCGTCGCATTTAGTAAAGTGAAGCCAAACTTTAGAGCCTGTTCATGTTCTTCTAGTCGGAAATTCGGACTTCCGGGGAGAAAGCGAACACACCATTAGCGGAACGGAAGCTAACATATCAAGCTAATGTTATCTTAAACATTATATTTACCTACCGGAGCAGATTAAGATGAGGATGTCTCACTTAGATCGTTGTCGCTGGTTTCATCATCACCCAGTTACCCATCACATTTAGTGAAGTGGACCCAAGCTTTAACGTGCGTTCTTTCTACCCATGCTGCTCTGTTTACAACTGGCTCGCAGCGACCGACGATATAACGCTCTTGCGCATGTGCAGCTGTCTAGGCAAGTTCTCGTTATGAAGGACGGGAACCAAAACGAGGCACTGTTTCAAATGACGTGAATCGGTGCTCAGTCGGTACTATGGAATTCGGTCAGTACCTTAAAAAGTACCTAATTCGGTACCCATCGCTACTTACAAACATTTTAACTTTGGGCCCCAAAAGACAAATATTTCTATAAAAATTTATATAGATGATGTGGAAAAGTATACAATTTTAAATATCTTAAAAAATAAAACTTGTCGCAAAAAATAACTGAGCTTTAAAGTAACACTAAATAGTTTTTAAACATTAAGCTAAAGCTTTAACATTGATCTCAGTGATTGTTGAGTTAGATACTTAACCAGTTTGATATTAGACACCACACTGCAGCCCTCTGCTAACCAGATACTCTCTAGGGGGCGCTCTTATACCCACATCATGGCTGTTAAAAGGTAATTTTCCGTGCAGTTAGCTTTTTCAGTTTGCTAATCGTCAATAAAAAGCACTAGAAGAGGAAAAAGAAGAAGTTTGCTTTTCAGTTGGTATCATGGCGGAACCTGGAAGTAAAAGTATGAGAGTAATGTCTGAGGAGGTGAAGCAAAGAGCTAAAACCGCAGTATACATCTGCACGGCCTACTCTAGTTTGAGGAAGCTGAAAAAGGCTATGAAATCATGGACTGATGGTGACCTGGCTATGTTGCTACTAGATTTGTAAGTACCATATTGACCCAAACATAGAACATTTTTTCAATGAAAATAATTTTATAATGTGAGGTCGTCTTATAATCGAGGTATAAGCATTCACATATGCTGATATTTACATGCCCGTAACAGGTCTGGAGCAGAGAGGCCTGAAAGTGGGGCAAGTTAATAAGCTACTAAAGCAGAGTTATGATGCTAATTTTAAGATGATGGTGGAAAATTCAGCAGAGGCATCAAACATTGCATGCATGGATGCATTAGATGGCAGTGAGGATGAAGTTCAATGGGAGAAGCCGGCAGGTGTAGCGATCTGATGGTACACCAGGTTCGCAGCAGTGTGAGAGTGAGTGAGTACAACGAGGCAGTCTCATTTGACTTCTGATTTCACATTAGAGCTGAAACAACTAATCGATTTAATCGATTATAATCGATTATTAAAATAGTTAACAACTTTTTTAGTCATCGATTAGTTGTTTAATAATCATATTTTACCGCATAAAGTCTATTTTTTTACCACAATCTGACATCGGTTACAAGCTGTTAAATTTGCCGCCAGTGTGTGGCAGTAATGAGCCACTGATCTACCAGTGGAGCCGTAGAAGAAGAAATGAGCCAATGGGTGCCCTCGGTTTTCATGACGTATCACGTTACTGACGCTCATCTTGCTGTGAGAAAATGGCGGAACAAGAGGAAATACGGAAGAAAAATAGAAGCGACAAAACTGAAGAGAAACCCCGGACAAAAACCTCACGAGTATGGGAGCACATTTGAGACGAAAGCATGTGGGGGCTGATGCAGCAGAGGAAGAGCACCGCGGTCAAGTGAGCCGTCATTTGGAAGAGCCAGCCCGGTAAGTAACAGAAAATAAACAAGCTGGACTTAGTGTTTTAGCTGAGTTCGTTATAGTGGATGTTAAACATGTTTTTTTGCCGCGTCAGTCTGCGGTGTTCTACTTCTGATTGACTAGATGCAATCGTGAATCTCCTCCGTGTTGTGTATCATGCGCTTGCCAAATTTAGCACGTCTGTTTATAAGAATGTTCTCGTTAAGAGAAAAACGGCACAAACCCATAACTATGTTCCTCATTCAAAAAAGGACAACTCCGCGGAGAAAAATATACAGACAAGCTGTGTCCAGGTGAATATAACGCGGCATAGTTGTACACTTTCAATTTTTAAATACAGGAGAAATTCAGAAAAAGTCATTTTTTTACTATTAAAAGGCTGTTTTACTATCTAACGCTGTAAAACGCCTCACAACACATTTTTATCATGTTTCTTAAACAGTATTACACAAAATAAACATTTTTCACATTTCTCTGGCTAATTTAAACACTCCCGACTCAAAGTAAAAACCTCATGAGCTTCTTACTTAGAGCTTTTTATTAGTAAAAATGTTTTACTTTTTTTCTGAATATCTCCTGTTGCGGGCTATTTTGTAGAACGTAACCCTCAAAATAAATGATCACTGTATATTGTTAATTAATTCAAATAATATAATATTGATTTAGTGTTGTAGTGTGTGTGCTGCTTTATTTTATATGTGTACTTATTTCAGTCTATTTGTGTTTCTTATGCAGAAAAAAACAAGCAACGATGGACAACTACATGGGGAAGAAGACACTCACCCCCCAGCAATTCATACCACTTACAAACTCTATTCTAAACATGCTGGTAAAAGACATGAGGCCACTATCCATGGTGGAAGGAGCAGGCTTCCAGCTAATGCTAAAAATTATTCTGGACTGATATTTTGCACTGTTTAGCTCATTTTATACTGCTGACTGTGTTCATGTGCAATAAAATAGATTGCAGTCAACTGCACAATTCTCTTATGTTTTTTTGTTCTTAACTGAAATGCATCCATCACTTGTATAGGTTAAATAGCTAAACAATAACAAACCGATTAATCGATTAATCGAAAAAATAATCGACAGATTAATCGATTATGAAAATAATCGTTAGTTGCAGCCCTATTTCACATGTCAGCAAAGTTCTGATAGTTTGCATTAAAATAGTATTTTTGCTCAGTATTTGTTCTCAAAATTTCAATAAAAATTGTTTATTTAAAAAGTGATTTTTTTTTTTGCCTTTTCCTTAAGATTAGTCTTGGAAAGGGGGGTCGTTTTAGGATCAAGGTCGTCCTATATCCGGGTCAATACGGTAATATTATTGTTTGTCCATCTTTTTGATTTGTTGCTTATTTAGTAAGACTTGCCACATGTTAGTATTAGCTTGTTGGTAGTGCTAGCTACAGCAGGCTGCTGCAGGGTTATTTACAGTAGTTGTAATTCCGCATTGAACCAGTAGGGCAGAGGAGCAGGTAACGTCTGCGTTACTTTATACAAAAACAATCTACATTTCCATCTTTCTCTTGTTTCCACTTTTTTGGCTCTTATTTCTCTACAAGCACATTTATCCAAGGGTCAGACTGATGGCAACAGGAGTGGGTGAGTTTAAGTCAAACCCTTTCATTTAGCCCATTTACTAAATCATCTGGAAATGCTTTTTAATAACAACTAAACGTTTTGTATTTTTATTGAGGAAATTAATGAATAAAAAAAATGTTATCCTAGAAATAAAACTTAGTAAGATGTTCAACAATACATACTGATATTAAGAAGACCTTGACCCCCTGGTCCTCCGTGTCCATGGCGGTGATTCGCACACTCTTCTCACTGGCCTTGTCCACCTGCATCTGCGGCCAAAGTTTAGTGTTGAGGATCAACCGCAGGCTGCCCTGGGTCCTCATCACTGGAATAACATCATTCACACAATGACAAGTCAGTGCTGAGGCCCAGCTTGAAGAAGCCACTTGTTTCATTTACTTCATAAACGATATGAGTTTTTTATGAAAACAAGAGTATTGTGACAAGGAATAATTTCTAATGCCGTGTAAATGTAAACAGAAAGTAAGAAACTTCAACTCAAAACAAATTTGACATTAATAGATTTTACATCAAACAATAAAGTAAAAACCAAACAACCAGATCCAAGTTCTTGCGTGTGATGTGATGTCCATTTAATAGGATCATGGAATGATTCGTCTCCCCCTTGTGCTCAAAGTGAGGTAGTGCATGATGAGGAATAAAACGAAATGTAGGTTTCCTTTCTGTGACCTTACATGAGCGTACATCATGATAATTTATTTCTTGCAACATGAACCGTAACGGTGATGAAAGTGAACACTGCTGGGGGAGACTCAAACACTCAAACAGTATCAACGGTGCTACGTTTATTTTTTTAGCCTGCAGGTACGTTTACCTAAGCGAGACTGAAGTGTGCCGTCATCCGTCGAAGCCATATCATTGAGTCTCAACAACCCCCGACCTCTTTCTATCCACGACTGAGCCGTCTTCTCAAAAACATACAACTTGCACTGCATCTGTAATAAAAAGAAAAACAGCAAAGGTTTGTGTTACACCGGTGTTTAGTCACAGCATGCGCCACACTCAGAAGCCCTGCCTCGTCTCATACCTGTAAAACATTGCTTTCCGACTCCTCTCCAGTTTTCACATCGACTTTCTCTAAGATGCACTTCTTGGCTGTGGCTTTGGTGTAAGCTGCTGCGGATTCCGCCAAAGACTCTGACACACTGTTGGCTGTTGAGACGAAACACAACTTAACAGGCTGCTGTGATTCCAACACTGACAAAGCAGTCACTTCAGTATGAACGTCCACAAGCAAAAGGATGTGGGACTGGAACCATCTATAGTTAAAACAGTGACTCCAAAAATCAAGCTGCTAATCCATCTTTGCTGTGGATTCAGCAACTTCTCAGTAAGCGACTAGAATTTGTCATTTGTGGCCCACATTTGTTGCTAAGCAGGCAAAACAACATCCATTTATCCCCAAAACTGAACGAATTATTGTATTTTTACCCTTTTCGGGGGTAGTTTCCTGTGATGAAGGCTCTGAAGCACAAGCAGCTGAAACCTCCGTATTTTCCTCATTTGAGGCCTCTCCCTTTGGGGGACTCTGCAAACACAACAGCTGATCAGTGGAACCCGTTTGGCGTTAAATCATCACAGTTTTTCCAGTATAGCACACCACTGGCAAACCACGCAACCACCCAAATGAACTCACCAGAACTCGCTCAGACATATTCTGCCCAAATACAAATTTTGCTCCACCGTCTGTACTGTTTGTTGCATTTTTTGAACTAGAATACAAGAGAGAAACACGTAAGTCTCCACAAAGATTTCAGCTGAAATTATACACAGGACAAAATGTCATTACCTTGGGGTAGAGATGTACTGTAAGAAATAATTCGTGCCCTCTGACTGAGAGTTTTGTTGCACATTGTTCTTTGAGTTGTCTTCTGTACTGTTCTCATCCAACTAAAGGGAAATAAAGACAACAGCATCTAATGAAACGGAACAACAAACCGCAACAGAAAATTCTCAGTCTTTCAGACCGACACAAAAAGAAAAAGTGACTTTTATAAACAAAATGAGCGTAGAGGTAATAACAAATCTCAACACAGTGAACTTTTCAGAGATAGTTAACGTCTACCAACATGCGGACTGATCTGAACCATCACTGTAAGTCACACAAAACTACAGAAGCAACCCACCTTTGCCCTGTCTTTGATATTCTGACCAAACACAAAAGATATTGCTATATCTGCATCCGTCTCTCTTCTCTCTCCATCTTTATCAGTCTCCTCGTCTTCCTTATTTTCATGTTTCTGAAACAAAAAACAAAGACTTCTGTTCTTTTACCATCTAACCAGGGCCATTTACAAATGTAGCATATAATACAATGGACGATAGACCTATATATCTGGCCAATATTTACAGTTTGTTTAGACATCGGCCGATATCCGTCCTTAGTAAAGTCGATTTAAAGTCAGACACATCCTCGTGCAGGCAGGTGCTGCAGCAGAATTTAGTTTCAATGTATTTTTACATTCACCAATAACATCCGCATAACAAATACTCTAAATTTACATTATTTAGGTGTCTGACTTTGACACTGAGCAGTGCACAAGGTTCAGAGTTCAAAACTGATTCAGCTTCAGAAATTTTGTGCATCAGCTGATGTTATTAGTGACAATTTAACATGAAAAGGTGGAAAACGTCCAGATATCAGCCATGACTATCTGCAGTACTTATCCATTGGCTGACCATGTCTCCTACATATCAGCATTGGTATCGGCAATAGAAAACCAATATCGGTCAACCTCTAGTTACAACCCTTTTTGACTGCATTAAAGACAAAATAAATTTCATTCGAATTTCAGTAAATTAGATTTATGTGATTTTCCAGGATTTTTTAATACGAAAAAAGGTTGTTTTATTGTTCTTCTTCATTAAATAAATGTGTGCTGTTACTCATATGTTCATGGGGGAAAAAGCAAAAAGCAGCTGCTTCAACAACATCCTAGCCAAACCTCAGCTTTGAAAGCCTTGGCTTGACTTGAGGCTTGGCCAGTTCTTACCAGTGACTTGGCCAGCGAGGCTGAATGCTCTTTGTTGTTCAGGAAGAGGGATTGGGTCACAAGTGATCCATCCGACGGCTTTTTAACACCATTGGTTCCACAACTGGAATCTAGAGTTAAAGACACGGAAAAACAGGAGTAATTATTTCTTTGCCTGAAATACCACTCTGAAGCCTCAGACACGGGGCTAATGACTTCGTATCTGAAAGGAGAAGTAAAGATGCCGTGCTCTCCGTCATCTCAACCTTGTTCCACACCTGCTCGGGCCTTTTAAAGAATTTTTCTACTTTTAACTGAACTTTGGACTAGATAATCTAGAGCGAGTTTAACGTGCTCTCTAGATAGGGCTGGGCAATAAATTAAAAATGTATCGTTATCGAAATTTTTGACTTTAATCGAGATTATTTTTCCCATGTCAACAAATCTGATAATAAAAAAAAAGAAAAAAATGTGTGTAGGACGGCAACGTTCATATTCCTTTAAGAAGCTGTACCACCTTGAGTCATGTAAAAATGTGACTCAATGTAATGTGACAGCCCCATCTAGTGGACAACTTTTGTTTCTGTGCCTACCTGTAGTTATCGTCAATTTATCGTTATCGAGGTGAAGTCCCCAATATATCGTGATATTAATTTTAGGCCAAATCGCCCAGCCCTCCTCTCTTGTATACCATCGGCATGCTCAGTGTTTAGTGTGTTCCCCGGAATGTGTGTACACAAGTATTTCAACAGTTTAGAGTAGAGCTGAAACAACTAATCGATTTAATCGATTATAATCGATTATTAAAATAGTTAACAACTTTTTTAGTCATCGATTAGTTGTTTAATAATCATTTTACCGCATAAAGTCTATTTTTTACCACAATCTGACATTGGTTACAATCTGTTAAATTTGCCGCCAGTGTGTGGCAGTAATGAGCCACTGATCTACCAGTGGAGCCGTAGAAGAAGAAATGAGCCAATAAGTGCCCTCGGTTTTCATGACGTATCACGTTACTGACGCGCATCTTGCTGTGAGAGATGGCGGAACAACAACAAATACGGAAGAAAAATAGAAGCGACAAAACAAGAGAAACCCCGGACAAAAACCTCACGAGTATGGGAGCACTTCACTAGATGCCTTGAAAAGACCGGTGACCTACAAAATATGCAAAAACCATGGCACGACGGAAGCACGACGTCCCTAAGTGAACATTTGAGACGAAAACGTGGGGGCTGATGCAGCAGAGGAATGTCCGGTAAGTAACAGAAAATAAACAAGCTAATGCAGATCACATCTGGGACTTAGTGTTTTAGCTGAGTTCGTTATAGTGGATGTTAAACATGTTTTTTTGCCGCGTCAGTTTACGGTGTTCTACTTCTGATTGACTAAATGCAATCGTGAATCTCCTCCGTGTTGTGAATCATGCGCTTGCCAAATTTAGCACGTCTGTTTATAAGAATGTTCTCGTTAAGAGAAAAACGGCACAAACCCATAACTGTGTTCCTCATTCAAAAAAGGACAACTCCGCGGAGAAAAATATACAGACGAGCTGTGTCCAGGTGAATATAACGCGGCATAGTTGTACGCTTTCAATTTTTAAATACAGGAGAAATTCAGAAAGTCCTTTTTTTAACTATTAAAAGGCTGTTTTACTATCTAACGCTGTAAAACGCCTCACAACACATTTTTGTCAAAATAAATGATCACTGTATATTGTTAATTAATTCAAATAATGTAATATTGATTTAGTGTTGTAGTGTGTGTGCTGCTTTATTTTATATGTGTACTTAATTCAGTTTATTTGTGTTTCTTATGCAGAAAAAAACAAGCAACGATGGACAACTACATGGGGAACAAGACACTCACCCCCAGCAATGCATACCACTTACAAACTCTATTCCAGATTCTACATTATTTTTTATGGAATTTACCGCTTATATTTTGATGCCAAAAAATTATTCTGGACTGATATTTTGCACTGTTTAGCTCATTTTACACTGCTGACTGTGGTCATGTGCAATAAAATAGATTGCAGTCAACTGCACAATTCTCTTATGTTTTTTCTTTTTCTTAACTGAAATGTATTCATCACTTGTATAGGTTAAATAGCTAAACAATAACAAACCGATTAATCGATTAATCGAAAAAATAATCGACAGATTAATCGATTATGAAAATAATCGTTAGTTGCAGCCCTAGTTTAGAGCGAGCAAGCTTTCAAAACAACCCAAAGATTGTATTAAGAAATGATATAAATGAGTTAATATAACAACACGTTAACTTTTACAGCCTTAATGAATGCCTATTAGTTTTTGCTCACATCACTCAAACTCCCTGTTGTTTTACTAATCACTCCTAAAACCTTGTGCCACATATGGAAGCCTGTTAATGAGAGCTAGCTGGACTTACTGGACTCTTTGTGTGATTTAGAGGGTGGCGCCTGAAGAACTGCGGGGCGGAGGACGCTGCGTTGCTGCTCCTTGGGTTTCTGACTTGGAACACCTAAAACAAAAACCACTGATTTCATCGTTTTCAAAAGCAATTAGCTATTTATTTTACACATGCTTTTACATTTGAGTCAAGCATGTGCAAACTACACCTACCAGAACTTGGTGCTTTTCCATGTATGAGAGTCGGCGGCTTTAGACGGAATCCCACAGGTTTCTCCTCTGGTGAAACAAAGCACAGAAGTTTACAAATGTTTTAAAATGACAACATGACTCTAAAACACAGTGCCAGTTACCACAGCGACCTCTGCTTCAGTAGCTGTTCAGAAATAGAATAGACACTTCCTTTATTGTCCCTCAGCGGGGAGATTTTGGTGCAACAGCATAAAAGTAGATTCATAAGAATTAAAAATAAAAGGATGTAGAATAAATAGAAAATTTCAATGTAAAAACTTTTAAAGATTGAATTTAAAAGGTGGAATTTTAACTCACTTTATTTACTTGTATTACATCCAAATACAGGATAATTCCTTGACCTCAACAGAGAAATGAGACTGGGAGACCAAACTTGTTAGGTGCTAATGACATACACAGATGAGTGCCTGTAACTACTTTCTTAATCACCACAATATGTGAAAAACAAATTTTGACAGACGCCACTGCCTTTAACCATCACATAAGTAAACATGTTGACTAAGTCATGTTTAAGCAACACAAACTAGTACAACTCTTACCAGAACGGATTCTGGGACTGACAAGACAACTCTACTGCAGTGAGGTTTGAAGTTCAGCTACATAAGGCTCTCTGTGTTTACAATGATAGTTTGTTGTGTTTACATTCTTTGCAGTCACAGTTCATGAGCATATCTTGCAGCAGATTTCACTGTGATGTTTATTCAGCTTTAGAAATCTGTCCCACTTCCAAATCCCAAATGCTACGTGCCCTCACTCCACTTTAATGTCGTCATCTTACTGGAACACACACTTCTGAGCAGTCACTCATTTTTTGAACATGATTTCTTGTTTATGTTTATTTATTTAGCAGACTTATAATTTATAACCTAGAGGACATGTTGTGATCTGTGGGGGAAACCCACGCATGCATGGCGAGAACACACAACTCCACGCAGAAAGGCCACAGCTGAGTTTCAAACCTGCAACCTTCGTGCTGCGAGGCAACAGTGCTAACAACTGCGACACCATGCAGTCTGCACCACGCTGCTTGTCTTGACAACTCAAGCAGCATCAGATATGTGACCTTGTTCAAACAACATTGAAACATTTAAACTGAAGTTGACCAACATGGCAGTTTTTTTGTTTTGTTAGTTTTTTACAATGAACCATCCTGCTAACTGTTTGGGTGACCCCTCCAGGACAGGGAATGGTTGAGCAGGGTTGCTGGTTCATCCCTTGGGGTCCACATGATAGAGGTGAGGTGCTCACTCCACAAAGCAACCCAAAAAACAAAACAACATCTGGGGTCCAATGAACCTCGTTAGGTACGTGGAAGTTAGGAAAAAGGAAATAAACACGGTTTTGGTCAAAACTCTAAACAGAGGGCTTGCTGCAGCAGGATTAGTCAAGAAACAGAGGAAGGCAAGCAAAACTCAAAAAAGCACAGTGTCCACTGGACCCCACCGGGACTGTAAGGGGCAAATTTTGGACCAAGACCCTCGAAATGCATACAGGAGGACTCACCACATCAGGTTTAGTTAAGGAACTGGGAACAAGTAATGGTAAAAAAAAAACACCCTGGGGTGCATCTGAACCCATTAACTCATTCACTGCCAGCTGTTCCCTGATCAGAAAAGCCCTTTGCTGCCAGCATTTTTCAGCGTTTTCACAGTTTTTTTTGTAGGAGTCACGGAACGTTGCGCACTATGATGATGTAAATGCCAAAACTGCCAAAACAGAGGAGACTCGCCTTTACATCAGGAAGAATCCGTGCGTTTCGGGCATTCTTCATTCTTTCATAATCAGTTGTCAAATTGTGATCAGCAGAAGCTTTTCCGGTTCGTGCCTCACTTTTTTTACAGCAGCGGCCCAAAACGATCTAACACATGGATTTTCTGCTTCCTGATCACGTGACGTGTGACGTACGCGATGAAGATCAGCTTTAGAGCTGGTGTGTTTGTTCTCACGGTGCGGGGGCTCGTTCCGACACCCACAGCAAAATATGCAAATGACGACTTTAGTCGTCATTGGCAGTGAATGAGTTAAAAACAGAGGAGGGGTTGAGTGTTTTTCTTAGCAACTATTTTATCACCCAGGTCTTACCCGATTCTAATACTATTAGTAATTGTGATTACATGGTGGACAAAGTAAAATGCACCCAAACAACGGAGTCTGGAAGTAAAGACAACACCTGCACCAATTCTCTTTACTAGTGATGGGGCTTTAGGCTCTTTGAAGGGAGCCGTTCGTTCGAGAGCTGTTCAAAAGACTGGCTTTTTTGAACCAAGCGGAGCGATGTCCGTGGGAAAGAAAAAATCAAAAATAAGTAATCTGATAACAGCTAACAGTAACACTTTACAATAAGTCTCTTTATTATCATTACTTAGTGCCATATTAAGCATTAATAAACAAAGGATACCTTTATTAACATTACCCATAATAAATGTCCTCAAGATTAGGACAAAGGGCCGGGGGGGGGGGGGGGGGGGGGGAGCAATGCATTACTTAATATTTATATTAATATTAAGCTGTTGTAAATACTTTAATGGTTTATTAATGCTTAATAATCCACTAAGTAACATTAATAAAGGGACCCTTATTGTAAAGTGTTACCCAGCTAACTTGATACAAAGTTACAATAAGGCACATATAAACTAAGTGACCTATAGTTTTAATGAGTTTAATAATAAGCTACTTGACGTTTCCCAACAGCGATCAACAGCAACATTTGCCAACCAAGTTATGTCTTCTTTTTATAATAACAAATAATCTGTTTCTACGGTGTTCAGTTCTGTACTTTCTGAACATTTAGATTAATTGTTTTAAATTAGAATTATATAATTAAAATTTCAATTATGAACAGAACTTCATTACAAGCAACCAAGATCATAATGGACTTTGGAGAATTAGAACCATAATAAGATTTAAAAATAAGGATTTTGAGAAGCTTTCCTTAAGTAGGTTTAGACTATTCACATACCAGGCATATGCATCACAAATGTTTTACATCTTTAGTACGAGCCGTTAAAGATGGTTCACAATGACAGATAAAAAATGAGAAAACTCGAGGTCTTTCAATAGTACTAAAAGACAATCCCCCTTAAAGCCAAACACCAACTCTTTAAATGTATTGGTCCCTAAAAAATTGGGTAATATGTTATGTGATGACATCACCATCTATAAATAATGCAATGAAAGTTTCTTGTTCAGATTTGGGTAACAGCACTGTGAACAAAGTTGCACTGGAAAATGTGTTTATGTATGCCAGTTGTCTTAAACCACTGAAAAGCTAAGTGTTTATGATATGTAGTGCATGTCAGCCTTCCGTAAACCTTTACTAAAGAAAGTTTTATAGCTGTGGGACACAGAAGCTGGTCTGAATAGCTCACCTGGCTCAGAATCAGAGTTCCCAGTCGGAGACTGGCAGAATGTTGAGGGCATGAATACATTGTTCTTGGGAGCTGCAAAAGAGCAGACAGACATTGCACTGAGAATACAAATCCATCTGTACAACACAAGCAAGGACAAGAAAGAAGGTAACTGCTTTGCTTAGTAAGCGTACGCTCTTACCAGAATGTGGAGGTGGGAATGACGATGTCCTTTCCCTTTTTACAGGGGGGCAATAGCTTCCCTCGTCTTTATCCGAGTCTGAAAATTGGAGCAAATTCTTAAACATCTCAAATCAAAAGAAATTTTCAGCTAAGAAACACTTTTCTTACCTTCACCATCTTCTGCGCTTGAGCCCTCAGCAGATCGCTACAAGAGTGCAATAAGACTTTTTACTTATTATACATCCAAAGAGAAGTACCAACCTCATACCAAAAAAGGACAGGATACAAGTTGTTTCCTGCTGAAATACTAAGAAAATCTAATTAAACTAAACTCGCTTTAATCGTGTTTTATGGCTTTTTAAGAGGCTGTGAAAGAATTCAGCTTTAATTTTTATTTTATTAACAAAATTAAAGCATGGGTTGATAATAAATGTTAAATGTCTAAAAAAAAGCACCATGATATAAATAGGCTTTACATTAATGAAGAAAAATGAGAAAACTTACCTTCTGTGCCTTATCTTTTTGGAAAACAAACACAGGAGGTGCAATGGCAGGCTTGTCTGTTAAGAAAATATTTAGGCTAGTCATTCAAACACCAACCTAAAATGTGCTGTGATCTTTTTGCTGCTCACCAAGTTAAAAACTAAAAGCTATGCTAAACATAAGCAATATCTATTGTTTACGACTACAAGATTAACAGAATATACAAAAATAACTATCACATGAGTGAATATGCTAAATCAGTGTGGTCAATTTTGTGTATAAACACGATTACTTCTGTTGATAACATCTAGAGCCATTCTTGCAGTTTCAAGTCCTTCTCTTTAGAATGGGGGACAGCAGTAAGACCGTATCGAAGGAAACACTGCTTTGTTTGTGTGAAAGTATAGCCTGATCAAACATTACTTTAAATAATCTATTATGGCGGAACCCCTCTATCAAGACAATATTATTTTCCCATTTGCTACCTATTATTTTATTGCAGCTAGCAGAAGCAGATCTGATTGGTTACTGAAGAAAGCATTTGGTATTTCTACCTACACCTGCTATAAGCAATGGTGGTTACAATTAAGATTGTCTTATGTTGTTCTAAATTATATGATGTGGTAGGATTTACGCTGTACATGCTTCTTCTAGTTTTGTAAAATGCTCCCAAACTTTTGAGCTATGTTGACAGATCGCCACGTCTTGTTTATTCCGGTGTCGTGACGGCGCACCTGGATGGCCACTACTGCGCACGTGCCTCGAGCAGAAAGACAGAAAGCAGCAGTGTTGCTACAGCAAGCATGATAGAAAAAAAAACAATGCTTCATAGGATGATCAGAGTCAACTATTAAATTTATTGTCAACGTCACAGTGACGAATCGACTAATCGTGGCAGCAGTGAGAAGACAAAATGTCAAGCTATGCAAGTTCTGGATAGATAGCAACACTGTATACTGGGGTTATAATTTAGGGGAGGCCTATTGGTATTAGAAATAATTAGTGCTTAACTAATCAAGATAATCATCTAGAACTTCACAGCAAATATAAGGCCTAAAATAAATACACAAAAAGGTTCAAATAAAAAGCATGTGTGTGTGCAAAATATTTTGCCTAGTTGCTTGAATAAAAAATGTAGTGGCAAACCCCTCTCTTTCGTATGTTTTCAGAAATCCACTCTAATACCTTACAATCCTACAAAACCGTCATGGAGCAAACATCTAGCTACATTATTTAAAATAAAAATATGTCAAAACACTTCTAATTGCATTATATCAATATTGACAATAAACCTTCCAGTAAATCAGCACAAACAATAAACTATGTCTGCAAATCAAAAATTGATTGTAGAAGCTTATGACCACCATGATGCTTCAATAATCTAATAATGAAGAAACAAGCGGAGTAACACGAATTGCTTCAAGTGGCATTAAGCATCTGTGTCATATGAAAGACGTAAATCGTTATCAGACAAAAGACTTTCCTGTGTCTGAGCTGGGCCTTTTCCTTGACAGGTGTAGCACCAGTATCAGTGTGCACATGTTTGTGACATTGGCCAAATATCCGATTACACACACTGACGCCGATAAACAAACAGCGTCTAAAACCCTCGTGGCTCAAATACATTGTTATGGAGAGCATCTGGTGCACAAATGCGTAGAAATCTAGCATGACCTATATTTTTTTCATTAACCTCTATTTTGATTTTGTCTTGACAGACGCTGATTTATATTAAAAACGAGTATATTTCCTCATGCAACACCAAACATTCACGTCAGCCATGGTAGCTGCCTGAGGTATTCCCGGCTTATGTTAACTAGCTATCTGACCCTTTCCAGCAAATAGTCATGGCCACCAGCTTGTCGGCTATAGTTAGCTTGCTAATGCGCTTCATCCCGCATGAGTCATCTCTCCTGACACCCCATGCCATCAAGATTCGTTTAATTTGCTTGAAGCTGTATGACCAACACTGACACTACTTGACCTAGCCATAACGTTTCTTGCAATAAAGGCGAGCCCACTTAAACACCAATCAAGACGATGTTTTTCACCCTGCGCGCCTAAACAAACGCTAGGCAACTCTGCAACTGACTGAGCGCTAAATTCACTTGAAACAGGGATTTCGCACTGCACGGAGTAAGTAACAATGAGGGCACTTTTGCACATTTAAGACCAAATACGTGCATAATAAAATAACTTGTGAATTTGCGTTAACACAAACTAGTTAACTCACCACAAATGGTAAGAAATAGCGGCTATAAATAGCCTAGTGCTAGCATTACAACGTAAGCCGGCTAGCGGCATTCGAGGTTGTTCGGAGACATCCCAGGTATTATCCTATGCCCAGATATTAGCATTGTTAGCTTGCTCGCTAACATTGTAGTTATCTTAACGGTGCGACGCAACACTTCAACTTAAGTCACAATTAACATGCGACCGAGACGCTTTATTTAAGTTGTCACATATGCAGATTGTGGAAGGGATAACCTTTATATAACCGCACGAGCTGTTCTGTTTTTCACACACTGCTACTTACTCACCTTCGTTTGCCAAGTCCGCCATTTTACTTCGACGCTCTCACACCCACAACCCACCGCGCAGATAACACTAGTCGAGGCAGGAACGGGTTCAGCAAGGCCCAGGAGCCCTCAAACCAGGAGTCCTCAGAGTTTTAATCATAACTACATTACACAACAAATTATGACACGACGACACAGAAAAAAGGTCAAAGTATCAACATGAGAAGAAAAGCTGTTAAATAAATTCATAAAATAAAGGCAAAATATAATAATTGTACAGAATAAGACCCCCAAATGGCTTACATGATACATACATACATGTAATTAAAATGCAAATGGGCTTATATGACACATAAGTTTAAGGGTAGTCCATTAAAAGAACTTTGTTTTAAATAGCCAGGTGCCTGAAAGAGGCATCCACCTTCAACTGTAAAAAAAATAAAACGTTTCAGGATTTTTAAAAATGTTTTTTTTTTAATTCACTAGATGTATTTTGTTATTTTGTTCATATTACACCTCTATATATTATTATTTTTTGCATTCATTTGGACTAGTTTTCTATTATTTTCTAGCAAATATATATAATAAATTGTCGGGGGGGGGGGGGGGGGGTATTCATTCTAATGAAGGAGTTCTGTGTTTTTTTATGGGTGTTTGGAGTCATATATGGTTGTTTGGGTATCCTACAGTGGAATCCTACTTTAATCCAATTCAATTCAAGTTTATTTATATAGCGCCACAGTAAACATTATAATACAGGTCAGTTTATTAAGCCAATCAGTAAAAAATTTTCTATATAAGGAACTCTGCACATTGCATCAAGTGACTGACTGGTGTCACTGTTGCTGCATGCTAAGCAAGCATGCAGCAACAGTGGAGAGGAAAACTCCCTTTTAACAGGAAGAAACCTGCAGAGGATCCTGCCTCAGTATAATTTCATATTTAAATAGATCATAAAGCCCTTATTCAAAGGTTTTGACTCAATCACAACTAGGAACATTTCTTGGACAGTTGAGTGTGGAGTGAACTCAATGATTTCATATTTATTTATTGTCATTCAGTAGCATGTAAGTGACTTGGGAGAATGCTCAAACTTGTGGCTGCAGTTCTTAGTGATAGCACCAAAAATAAAATGCAAACATAACTGATTTAACAGTGTTCATCATAAGGCCTGGGGGAGATTATATCTAAACTATCAAAACTGAACATGAGCTACAGAAATACTCACACAATATTTAATGTGACTTTAAAACATAGGTGAAGTGACTACTTAGTGACAAACACACATAAAATTTCTATTGTTACACAAAATAGACATGCATTTAACAACAAAGACAACATGAGCCACCAAAATTGTACACAAACAACAATAAAACAAGCAAAATTGAGAAAGATGAGATAAATTAACTTGATGTAGTAGCAAAAAAAAAAAGAACAAAGAGCACCAAATGGCCACAAAGAGAATAACAGTTACTTAAATGTAACTAAAACAAAGGTGCACAACAACCACTGAGACATGCAATGAAGAAAATAGCACAAAATTCCAAGAAAAAAAAGGATGCATGAAGTGAAAAAAATGAAGAGGTGGATCAAAAAACTATGCAGGACACCAAAACGAACATGTTTTACTTTTGCATCGTTTTGTTTTGCTTTAATATTATTGGAGGCCTTTTAAATGCATCTGATTGTGTTTTTTCAAGTATTAATATTTCAACCAGACTGTAATTAATGCCCTTTTTTTCTGACTCAGACTCAGAAAAGGGTAGAATGCTTTCTCCGGGTCAGGGATGAGGTCCTGCCCAAGTGGAGGAGTTTAAGTATCTCGGGGTCTTATTCACAAGTGAGGGAAAGCTGGAGCATGAGATCGATAGGCGGATTGGTGCTGCATCTGCAGTGCTGCGGTCATTGTACCGGTCTGTCGTGGTGCAGAGAGCTGAGCTGGAAGGCAAAGCTCTCGATTTACTGGTCAATCTACGTTCCTACCCTCACTTACGGTCACTAGCTTTGGGTAGTGACCGAAAGAATGAGTAGCCGAACAAGCAGCCAAAATGAGTTTTCTCCGTCGAGTGGCTGGGTTCTTTCTTTGAGATAGGGTGAGAAGCTCGGTCATCCATGAGGGGCTCGGAGTAGAACCACTGCTCCTCCACATCGAGAGGAGCCAGTTGAGGTGGCTCGAGCATCTGGTAAGGATGCTTCCTGGATGCCTCCCTGAGGTTTTCCGGACACGTCCAACTGGGAGAAGGCCTAAAGGAAGACCCAGGAGACGCTGGAGAGACTATGTCTCACAGCTCGTCAGGGAATGGCTTAGGGTTCCCCCAGAGGAGCTGGTCCAAGTGGCTGGGGAGAGGAAAGTCTGGGCCTACCTTCTTAGGCTGTTGCCCCCATGACCTGACCCCGGAAAAGCGGCCGAAAATGGATGGATGGATGGATGGATGTAATTACTGCACACAAAAAATGAAAAGGTGACATTTTTAGAAGTAAAATGTAATCAGTTTCTAATGCTATTTCAATCTCACAACAGATTCATATTTTTTGCCATAAAAAGTAGCAATAAGGGACATTCTCCCTTTTTCTACAATGGTATCTTTGATGGAAGCAACTTCTTCCCAAAAAATCATAAGCATAATGATTTCTTCAGGGGACTGAGTCAGGTTTGTAAACAAACAAACAAGCCTCTTCTGGAGGCTTCTGGATTTATAGGCTCTCTGTGGGGGAAAAAAAGAATCGTTTTGACCTTTTCAAGTCTTTTTTTGTAGACACATTTGTTTCTGTACTTCTACAGCTTTGCATTTGGCTCATATGGTGAGAAAACCCATGTGGTAGATGCAAGGCATTATTTCTGACACTAGATGGTGCACTGTTTTTGTTATGATTGAAGCAATTCATGAAAATAATGTTATTGATGATCTTTAATCCAAAGAGGCATAACCCTGGATTAATGACAACATTCAGTGTTCTGCCTTCTTTACATTTATTTTTCTAATATATTTTTTGTTTTTTTGCTTTTTAAATTAATATCCTAAAACATAATTTATGTTGATTTAAAGACTGATTTGGTACATAAAGATGAAGCAAGAGAAAAATAATTCTCCCCTGAGAAAAAGAACTCCAGGTTTAGTTAAGAAATGCTGAATACAGCACGTTTAATCACAGTTTGTTCTGAACAATGCCAAGAAGAATCTTTGAGAAAGAATCTAGCTTCGGAGATCCCCTCGGGTTACACTCCAACAGGCTACTGCTTGAACTTATACTGCTTGCTAAGCTGGGCCTCATTTGTCAAAAAGCTTGGCTTGAGCTTTGAGACAAAACAGTTTCACTTTTTGTCAAATGCGTTCATGTGGCCAGTACCGCCCGTTTATCAAAGTTTTCACATCCAGTAGACCAGATCCTTCAAGTGTCACAAACCTTTAATTATAAACCACTTAAGGCATGGAAATTAGACTGAATGTAGGTAATATCTATGTATGACATGCATTACTTTGAAGGAATTCCAAATCTCTCAATATTTTCTTTCTTACATAACAAACTTCTTGGTTTCAGATTGTCGTTATGAAAAACTAACAATAATGCCGTGGGGACTTCACTGGAAACACAAGGGTACTGATAATTATGCAATCTGCAGACTCAAAACCATCTTGTGTTTCCTTTGGTGTGTTAAAGCTTGTCTCCTGGGAGGGTTTTCTGGAAGAACACTGCATTAAGGCAACTGAATGTTAGATAATTATAGGGTTCAAATGATTTATTGAGGGCTGAATTCTTAATATTTCAATGAACCAAAATCTACATATGCTGCATTTAACTACATATGATACAAAAGTATGAAGTACATTTATTAGACAACCCAAATTTATCCTAGTCAAACAGAAACACTGTCTACACTGGGATTGCCTCAGTGTAATTTTAAATAACATACGTTTACAGACTTGTGGTTAAAGTTAAAGACACTTAACAAAAACTAGTTTGACTTTGTTTCCTTCTAAAACACGGATGTTCTCCAGACATTTTGCTACTTCGGGACATAAATTGACTTCTCACTTCTTCTGTACACTTAGTTTTCACTGTGAATTGAGAGCTGCAGCAACTGCATCTTCTTTGTAATCAGCCAAGTTTGCACAGATACTATTATAGAGCTCCGGATGTCACGTGACTCTCTGAGAATAGACGCCACATTGACAGGCAACAAAGGAAAACAAAATGAACGGGATCGGCTTGGATTTTACTCCGTTGAAGTTTACTTCACACTTTAAAACCGAAGAAATCGTTTTATATAGTCAGAAATTAAATAGACTAAACATCTCTGACCCTTACCGTGCCCCTGGGATACTTTTTTAAAACGCCAGAAGCTGTCAGAGCGGACCTGATCAGGGAATGCCTTGGGATTTCCCCAGAGGAGCTGGCCCAAGTGGCTGGGGAGAGGGAAGTCTGGGCCTGTCTGCTTAGGCTGCTGCCCCTGCGACCCGACTCCAGATAAGCGGATGAAAATGGATGGATGGATGGAAATGAATGGATGGATGGATGGATGGACAAATAACATAGATTTACATGTAAGTAGTTTAAATAGAGTGCTGTGCTGTTTGAATGTAATGAACACCAAGAGAAATCACTAGTTTGATTTTTTTCCGTGAATAAAATAAAAAAGTCAGGCAGGAGCGTCTCAGGATCTGTCTGAGATCTGTCTCGGTGAGACAGATAATAGCAATCCAAAGTGGTTTTTATGTGTGATCCTACAATTGATAAACCATTGCTTAAAAATTAAATACAGCTTAGCCGGTTATTTGCTGTGATCATAAGACACGTAAACGGCAGCACGCAGAAATCACGAGGCAACATTTTACGTGATGTTTACTTGTTGCTATGAGTAACAAGATAGAAAAAGCCATGCCAAAATAAGTTTAGGAAGCCCACTAAGAATCGTAATAAAAGCATTTAAAATAAATACCATACACAGTTGAGGAAACGTTTGTTTAAGTACCTGATATGAAGTGGTCGCTTCATAAGCGAAAACCTTTACTCGGGATCCCACAGTTTCATTTTAGCACGGTCAATAGCGCGTTTTATTGCGATGATCCAACGTTTGCGAGGTTCCGGATCTGGGGAATCCTGTAGAAGGCTCTTCC